ATTTTAATCTATTTTATCTTTTTGTATATTTTAGTTCAAAAAATAAAGTAAAAAATCTTTATCAAACCAGACCATTATAGAGTAGTTATTTAAAGAATGTGATTTAGTTACAAGTTATTATAGAATAGCCTTTTTATTATGGGCAAATTGCCTACACTTCCCTTGAGGTTTAGTTAAATTACAGATTTTTTTCTGAGGTTTCAAAAATTATATTTCGTCCCTTGAGATTTATATTCGCATAACAATTTAACCTCTACCGTTAACTAAATGTTAAGAATGGTTAGCTGACATCACCAAAACATAAATTGATAGACGATATTGCCTATGCTGAAATTCCTTCAATAAATTAACAAAATTTACAAAAGAATTACGTTAGATGGGAAAAAAAAAGAGAAGTTTTTGGAACTATATTTGATTTGTTGTTTAGAAAAAAATTTCAGAATTTAAAAAAAAAACTAATTTAATAAAAATAAATATGAAAAAATATATTTAATTTGTAAAAATTATTTCTAACCACTCCAAAGATAAAATTATATAAAAATAAAAATTATTTTTTATTTTTTATTTCTTAACCAAATTAATTTTTAATTTTTTAAAAATAAATTTCTAAAAATTCAAACCAAACATATTCTAAGAATTTTTTGACAAGTCATTTCTTGTGTTTTTAACTTGTTTAATTATTTATTAATTTTATGATATTTTCAGCATTTGACACTACAACATTTAAGAGTTTTAGAGACCAATTTTTTTTTTATCTCTAAAGGCGAAAATTTTGTTGTAAAAGACATTTATGGACTAATTTCTATCGTCTTGAAGATAGTTGCTAAAAGATTGTCCTATAAAGTAAAAAATAAGTCTTTTAGCGATAAAATTTTGAAAACATCAATGATAAATAGACTTTTAGAGACAAAATAATTTGGTCTTAAGATGGTTTATTTTTTTAGACAAAAAATTTGATACCAAAAAAATAATAATTAATCACAAATGTTCAATTTTCGTTACTAAAAATATAATAACGACACTTTTTGCAATAAAAATATTTAGTCCTCTAAAAATAATTTTGTCCCTAAATTTTGATCTCTAAAACCTTAATTTTTTGTAGTGTGATAAGAGTTTTTCTATTTTAATTTTGCATTTCACAACTTATTTAAAAATGATAATTTAGTTGAAGCTCAAGAGGAATATGTAATTTAGCTAAACCGCAAGGAGTGTAGGTAATTTACTCTTATTTGTTAAAAAGATATTTTAGTCTATTTATGATATCTGTTAACGAAATTAATTATGATAAGACAAAATGTAATTTTTAAAACTTTAAGAGAGAATCTATAATTTTGTTAAATTTTAAGGGAGATGAAGGTAATTCACCTTTTTATTATTATTATTATTATTATTATAATGTAAATGTCACGTGGCAAAACTTCATAAAATTAAAATAGAGTTTATGGTATGGATGGCATAAATGATGATGCAATGAACAACGCAAAAGGCATGGGCTTTATATATAACCCACGCAAGAGACGCGACACTCACGCGGCTAAAATGTCCCACCCCATCCTCCACCAAAATCGTAGACCACATTCCAAGTAACGCACCACGTACTTCAATTATTGGATGTGAAAATCACGCACTCAAAAAGACCGTAGACCTAACTCCCACCTCATCTAATTCCCGCAAGTAGCCGTTGTAATCATCTCCCCGATGTAAAATTATTTCGTGACGTAGCCATCTTCTGGATCCTCTCGCTTTAAAAATTTCTGTTCCCTTGTTTTAAATCATTTTTTGATCTGAGTTTTAAATCAGGTCATGATTGAGACCCTCTTCAATCATTATTTTATCACATCATAAACACGTGACGAGTGATGATTGAAAGAGAAGGTAAAAAAAAAAAAATCAATCGTGGGAAGGGACAAGGTCTTCTATTACATCTTTTTCTTTTTCAATTTCATGTTTTTCTTCAATCCATTTGGGTATCTTCAACGGACTCAATTGCTTTCTCTGGAAAATTTAAAAGTTTTTACAAAAAAAACATGTAGCAGAATGATTGTAAAAGGGGAGGAAGAAAAAAAAAAAAACAAAATTTATAACCAAAAAAATAAATAAATAAACAAATAAACAAAAGCTTTAGTTATTGAGAATATAAAATTTGAAAACTCTTAGATCACTTACTGTTAAAGAGACATAAAATATAATATTCTATTGGTTGGTACTTCCTTTGCTATAATTGAATGAAACACTTTTATGTTTTCTTTTAAAGAACAAACCATTGTAAAAATAGAGAAAGAAAGTAAAAAGTAAAATAATAATAATAATAATAAAAGTGAGTGATTAGAGAAGACAAAAAGTTATTGGTCTTGTTTGGAAATTTGGTTATTTTAATAGATTAAAATATTTGTGTTTAGAAAGATGGTTGAATTTTTTTATAGTTACATGTGATGTTTGTGAAAGAAAAAAGTAAAATGATTATGAATTTGATAAGATATTTTGTTTTATTAATTATTTTAATCTATTTTATCTTTTTTGTATATTTTAGTTCAAAAAATAAAGTAAAAAATCTTTATCAAACCAGGCCATTATAGGGTAGTTATTTAAAGAATGTGATTTAGTGACAAGTTATTATAGAATAGCCTTTTTATTATGGGCAAATTGCCTACACCTCCCTTGAGGTTTAGTTAAATTACAAATTTTTTCCTGAGGTTTCAGAAATTATATTTTGTCCCTTGAGATTTATATTCACATAACAATTTAACCTCTACCGTTAACTAAATGTTAAGAATGGTTAGCTGACATCACCAAAATATAAATTGATAGATGATATTGTCCATGCTGAAATTCCTTCAATAAATTAACAAAATTTACAAAACAATTACGTTAGATAGAAAAAAAAAAAGTTTTTGGAACTATATTTGATTTGTTATTTAGAAAAAAAATTCAGAAGTAAAAAAAAAAACTAATTTAATAAAAATAAATATGAAAAAATATATTTAATTTGTAAAAATTATTTCTAACCACTCCAAAGATAAAATTATATAAAAATAAAAATTATTTTTTATTTTTTATTTCTTAACCAAATTAATTTTTAATTTTTTAAAAATAAATTTCTAAAAATTCAAACCAAACATATTCTAAGAATTTTTTGACAAGTCATTTCTTGTGTTTTTAACTTGTTTAATTATTTATTAATTTTATGATATTTTCAGCATTTGACACTACAACATCTAAGAGTTTTAGAGACCAATTTTTTTTATCTCTAAAAGCCAAAATTTTGTTGCAAAAGACATTTATAGGCTAATTTCTACCGTCTTGAAGATAGTTGCTAAAAGATTGCCCTAAAAAGTAAAAAATAAGTCTTTTAGCGATAAAATTTTGAAAACATCAATGATAAATAGACTTTTAGGAACAAAATAATTTGGTCTTAAGATGATTTATTTTTTTAGACAAAAAATTTGATACCAAAAAAATAATAATTAATCACAAATGTTCAATTTTCGTTACTAAAAATATAATAACGACACTTTTTGCAATAAAAATATTTAGTCCTTTAAAAATAATTTTGTCCCTAAATTTTGATCTCTAAAACCTTAATTTTTTGTAGTGTGATAAGTGTTTTTTATTTTAATTTTGCATTTCACAACTTATTTAAAAATTATAATTTAGTTAAAGTTCAAGAGGAATATGTAATTTAGTTAAACTTCAAGGAGTGTAGGTAATTTACTCTTATTTGTTAAAAGGACATTTTAATCAATTTATGATATTTGTTAAGGAAATTAATTGTGATGAGATGAAATGTAATTTTTAAAACTTTAAGAGAGAATCTGTAATTTTGTTAAATTTTAAGGGAGATGAAGGTAATTTACTTTATTATTATTATTATTATTATTATGCAAATGTCACGTGGCAAAGCTTCCTAAAATTAAAATAGAGGCTCAGTTTATGCTATGGATGGCATAGACGATGATGCAATGAGCAACGCAAAAGGCATGTGCTTTACATATAACCCACGCAAGAGACGCGACACTCACGCGGCTAAAATGTCCCACCCCATCCTCCACCAAAATCGTAGACCACATTCCAAGTAACGCACCACGTACTTCAATTATTGGATGTGAAAATCACGCACTCAAAAAGACCGTAGACCTAACTCCCACCTCATCTAATTCCCGCAAGTAGCCGTTGTAATCATCTCCCCGACGAAAAATTATTTCGTGACGTAGCTATCTTCTGGATCCTCTCGCTTTAAAAATTTCTGTTCCCTTGTTTTAAATCATTTTTTGATCTGAGTTTTAAATGAGGGGGATGATTGAGATCTTCTCCTATTATCACTCTATTATCTTATAAATATGTGACGGGTGGTGATTGGAGGAGAAGGAAAAATAAAAAAATACCAATCGTGGGAAGAGGAGGTCAGGAGTAAATAAAAAAGGGGTCCAAGTCATTATTTTATAATTTAATAGTTGTGAATGATTTAAAGAATAATGACTTAGACTCTCTTTTTTACTTACTCCCTTAATCCCCTCTTCCCATGATTAGTTTCTTTTTCTTTTTTTTTTCTTTCTCCTCCAAATATACTCAACAATTATAAATAATTTGGGACAGAGACATAAATTTTTAGAAACAAAAAATCGTTGAGCCTTCTTCATCAATTACAAATCGGTATATCTTTCATGTTCTCTGGTAATTTAATATAAAATTATGATCTTGACACTCAAAAAGTTAGTTAATAATTTTATAATATTACTTAATACTATTTATTAAAGGGCAAGCATCTAATTTTTTCTTAAAAATAGACAAAAAGAAAAGACAATGAGTCATATTATTTTAATCAATAAAAATCAAATTAAAACACCGTATCAGCACGTTCTATTAGTAAAAAATAATTTTTTTGACCAATGATAATACATCTGAAGCATCCGTGCCCGACGAGCACCAAATAACTTCTCCTTGCCGACGCCTGGAGGTCACTAGTCATTTTATTTCACTTTAAAAATACTATTTAAATCCAAACTAACTGATCATTTCCAAAACGAGACATGAAAATACTTGCCCAAATTTTCTTGCTAACCAAACAAATCTAGAAAATCAGTGTATCGTTTTCGTTTGCTTCCAAAATCAGTTTATAGCTTGGATATCACTTTACCTCGCTGGAGAGTTGGGGAATGTTCTTTGTTTTGATTGAGACTCTGAAGCTATCCTAAACACTCTCAGATCTGCTAACTCTCTTATTTCTGTCTCAAAAGCTTCAATTTTCTATGCTTTTGGCTCTCTTGCATTACCACAACTGAATAGAGCTCAGAGACATCACACAAATCAAGAGTATGAATTTCTACCTTCTGTATTCATATTTTGTATCTATATGTATATGTATATATGTATGTATGTATGTATGTATGTATGTTTGTATTGGTGGAAATATATGTAACTTTTGCTGAAATTAACTAAAGTGACATGATAAAATATGGATTTTGTGTTTTTTGATTTTTAATTTTTTAGTCAGTTGGTGAAACACGGAAAATTGTATTCTGGAGTTCTTTTTAATTTATTTTTTTCTTTTTTTTTTTGTTAATCAAATTGGAATGATGAGAATTGTTGACAGAAAAAGGATTTAACAAAATTTACTAAGTTATAGTATAGTGTTCTTCTTTAAATCGTATTTTACCTAATTTTTCATTGTTTTGGTGAAAAAAAAAATTAAAAAAATCTAGTTTACTTGTAGTGGCTAGGAGTTTGGATTTTTTATTAAAATTGAAAGGTTGGAATCTTTTCAGCTTTGAAGGAGACCTGTAAAACTTTTTTCTGCTTTGGAAATATCAATTCTGCTTTTTTTTTTGCCCAAATTCTTTTATTTTATATTTCTTTTTGTTCATCAAATTGTAATTATGAGAATTGTCGACATAAAAGTAGCTAACAACCTAAATTATGGAGTTATTATACTCCTTTTTAGATAGTATTTTCTCTATTTTTTCATTAATTTTGAAAGGAAAAAAAAAAAAACTAGTTTTGTTGAATTTTCTTGGGCTTTGTTTTGTTGATGTTGAAATTTTGGAATTGTTTCACATATCTTTGACTAGGCCTCGTTTGGCAAGTGCTTATTTTAGCCTAAAAGTCAAAATGTTACTAAAAAAACTAAAAAGCCAAACAACTTATACCAAAAAGTCAAAATTCCTTTTTCTCTTTACTTTTTGCACATCTTTTCGTAAAAAGTCAAAAAGTCATCTCAAACATATTAATTTTTTTTATCTCATATTTTAGCTAAAAAGCCAAAAAGTTACTACGAGGCCTCAATAGGAGTGAAAGTTTTTCCTTTTCACTCACTCACATATTTGGCCATATTGTATTTTTGCCTACAAAATAGGAAGGTCCACTTTGATTGACTAATCATTCGTGGAAAATTATAAAGCCAAACAACTTATATAAAAAAGTCAAAATTCATTTTTCTCTTTATTTTTTGTACATTTTTTCGTAAAAAGTCGAAAAGTCATCTCAAACATACTAATTTTTTTTTACCTCATATTTTAGCTAAAAAGCCAAAAAGTTACTATTTTGGGAAGTGGGTTGGCTTTTTGGCTTTTTGCGCTTTTTTAGCCTGGGCTTGAAAGCTTGGTTTGGGAAGGATTTTTTGGCTTTTTGGCTTTTTTAAGTTTTTTTGTGAGAGAAGAATGTAATGATTATAGGTTGGATGTGATGTTTTGTTTGTTATGGCTAAAATAGCCTATTTTGTTTTTTGTGGCTAAAATAGCCAAAAAAAAGCCCAAACCATGGCTTCCCAAACGAAGCCTAAAATAGTCTCAATTGAGGAGCAGAGGTTCGTTTAAGCAAATATTATTGTATGCCTCATTATTTGGTGATGATATGTTCATTTATGATAGGAATTTAAAAAACTGCTTAGGGAAATCTATAGTTTGGAATTCCAAGTCTGCATTGATTGTTGTATACCATGATTTGTAGGTAAATTCTATAATGATGTTTAAAGAACACTTTATTTAGGGCTCGTTTGGGAGTTGGTTTTTTTTTAGTGTTTTTTGGCTTTTTGTGAAAAGACGTGCAAAAAAGTAGAGAGAATGATTTGAGAACTTGTAGTGGCTTTTGGGCTAAAACCTTACTTCTATTTTGCATGTAATCTTGGTTATGAATAACAACTTGCTTTTTTGATAGGGAGATTGGCAGTATTTTAGAGGGGCTAGATGGCTACACTTGCAGATATGGGCCTTGCGGCAGCTATCAATATTCTCACTGCAGTTATTTTCTTAGTGGCATTTGCCATATTACGGCTTCAACCTTTCAATGATAGGGTATATTTTCCAAAATGGTACCTTAAGGGTTTAAGAAGCAGTCCAACGCAGTCTGGAGCATTCGTAAGCAAGTTTGTCAATTTGGACTTCAAATCATATTTGAGGTTTCTGAATTGGATGCCCGAGGCACTGAAAATGCCTGAACTTGAGCTTATTGACCATGCAGGATTGGATTCTGCTGTTTATTTACGGATTTACTTGCTAGGGTATGCTACTATAATCCTATAATCTCAGAATTTGTATCCTGTTATGATTTGCCAAGTAGCTTGTATGCTGAACTATCATGTGCTATGCAAAATTGACAGAACATATTCATCAATGTTCCATAAAGTAGTAGCCAAGGTAATGGAAGCAAAGATGAAAACTTTGAAAGCCTTTTGTAAACATGCTTATTCGAAATAGTTTTATGATTTGGAGTTCTATGTTCGTTTTCTTTGTACTCTGGAACCAAGTGAATCATAAAAAATAAAGGCTTGTTAAATCAAAATTTGAGATTCTAATTATTGAGGAAACTAAAAAAAAAAAAATGTTGCCCATGGAATCTGAAAAGGAAAAAAGAAACAAAAAGTTTGATTTTTTTTTTTTGTACTCTAGTCAAATTATGGTATCAAAAGGGATTTTTCTGGTTTTAGAGACTACACTTTGTTGCTTACACTTAAAATTATAGCTTTAAAAGTGGTATCTTGAATTGGCAGGAGGCATTGAATTTCTATATGACTTGAGTTCAGCAGAATTACGATCCCTGTATCTATGTCACTATGTGAACTACTGAATATAATTGTATAATTTAATGCCTGCATTAACTATAACTGAAAAGCTTTATGTTTCTTTGCTTTCTAATTTCAAATTTGCTTTTTAACATTGTTGGGTATAAGATATCTCTGTGTTGGTATCAGTAACTTTTATTGCTTTGTGCCATGAGCCTATCATTTCAATTAAATGCTCTTTTGACATTTTTGAAATTTTTTGTCTTGTGCTGATTTCTGCACTTTGATTTATGCAGACTCAAAATTTTTGTTCCTATGACATTCATTGCGTGGGCTATCCTGGTACCAGTTAACTGGACTAATGACACATTACAGAGACAAAATGTAACTTACAGTGAAATTGATAAGCTTTCTATATCTAACATCCCCCTTGGATCACACAAGTGAGAATCTTTCTTTTTATGGCAAGCTTTTAAACATACTACCTCACTGTTTTTTAATATTCATGAATGTTGACATATTCCATCAGCATTCGTCATGCCTTCATAGTTACACTATATTTTAGTGTTATTATGATTTCTATTTTCAGCATTGTATCAAAATGTGCCAGAATTGAAGTACTCATTTATTTTTCTTATAATTTTTTTTCCAATCAAATTTAATTGATAGAAAAATTTGAAGTCTTGCTGGGCTTGTACTTTTTACTCTGAAAATAAATTTATCTAAGAGTTGTTAGAGATTGGACCCAACAATTTCAAGACCCCTGATCTCTCCCTATTGCTCAGACCCAAGAACCATATAGGTTGTGGTAAAACTGGGGCTTGGTGCCCAAGTTTGCTGCCGATACTAGACATATTTCTTACAGGCCTGTTGCCTGGTCTGCCATACAAATGTTGAATTCATTGCATTGTCATCAAGGTGACTGTTGGTTCTATTGCACCATATTTCTTTCATGCCACGCGCCCTTCTCATACTAATTATGAAGAAACAATTGCAAATATTCTGAAGCCTGATAAGAAGCTTCCCTCCATCTGGTGCATGGAGGCCCCCGTTCCTTTTTGGTCGATGTTAACATTTGTTGTATATATATATTTTAAAAAAAGTTTCCCTTTATTTGAACAGACAGTAAGATTGTAACCAACCCTTCCCTTTTTAGGTGTTGTAAGCCTTTTTTTGGTGCCCTGTCAGCACTCTTACCATTGTGGTATAATTGCTTTGGCTTATCTCCTACTTGTTGGCTATTTCCTTGGATTCAAGCAGGGGGGCCTCTTGGCTTCTTAGAAGCCATCACTTGAAGGTGAAGTTGGCATCAGTTTATCACTGGCATGGTGCCTGGTGGGTGCCCCACAATTCCCCAACCTTAAGCCAACTTGTTTATCTGTTGGACTTGATGTTTTACACTCTGACTTTATGGTAATCCTAATCCAACCCATCATCTGGTCCTAGGAAATGGCCCGTGAATTGACTGTCAAAGCAGGTTCATATGTATACATATATATATATATGTTTTTCAGATCCACTTGTCTCAGTTTAGCCCTAGGTGCTTCTTATTTAGAGGGAAATGTGAGATGAGTAGGAGAATAAGCTGTTTAAGATATATAGTATGATGTATATCTCAGTATTGGCTTCAGTGAATGATTAACTGATTATATTAGCATATAGTCATATACCAGTCTGTACTTAATATGACAGTCTGTACTTGTTTAGTTTTACTGGCGGAACTACTCTGGTGTAATCAATGATGTTCATTGTTTTGGGATTGCAGATTTTGGGCTCATATAGTGATCACCTATGTGTTCACTTTTTGGACATGCTATGTATTACGAAAAGAGTATGAAACAATTGCATCAATGCGTTTGCATTTTCTTGCCTCAGAAAGACGTCGTCCTGATCAATTCACGGTATGATGCAGTCTGTCTCATTGAAGTTTGATTTAAAAGAATATAATGTTTTTATTATTTCATTGCAATTCTTCGTCTTCATTCAGGTTTAAACTTTTTTTTTGTTTTTGTTTTTTTTTTGTTAATAATTAATTCTGCTTGGAAGACCTTGTGATATTCTTTTTTGCACTAGTACCATATTTAGATAGCAATTGTTGTTCATCTTCTCATTTGCACCTTCTTGTTCATCTTCTCATTTGCACCTTGCTTCCAGTTACCCTGTTCTTATAATTTGATCTCTAGCCTCTAGGAAGGCATTCAAGGACTAGTAATCTTCATACATCATTTTCTTTTCAATAATTTTTTTTCTCATATTTTTTATTTATTTTTCATTTGATGCTTCTTCTTGGGAATCTCTTGGTTTGTATTTTCTAGAAATAGTACATTGCAGTAATGATATTAGCATCTGAATATTACAAGAAATCTGGTGATTTGTTGTCATTATGCAACTTTTTTTGGGGTAGATTTGTTTTTTTGTTTAACACAAAGTTGTGGTGGCCATGATATGTCGCTTTCTTGTTATCCATTTTCTAACTTAATATGGTGTCCGTCATTAACAAGCAATGGTTGATTTCAGTTACTAAGTGGTCTTGGGCATTTGGCAAATTCGGCACCTTGTAGTTTGCAGTAACAAATTATTGAGATGTTTATTGATGCTCACATGTCTACCAAGTTCCTACTCTATGAGGAAAACTGATGGGAATCGTGAAGGCATTGGATAAAGATTAATTGAAGTTTCGGGATTTAATGATTTATTTTGGCATTATTTTATATTTATTAGTTTTATTGTTTTATTAGGATTTTTATTATTGTAGTTTTTTTTTTTTGGTACCTTGGTTTTCTATGAAGCCTATGAATATAGGCCAATATGTCATAGTTTTTTGATGGCCTGCCTACTTAGGCTGTATTATGAGTTGTGCGTTGATTATTATTCCTGTTTCTTCCCTTCTATTCCTTATTCTCATTTACTTTTCTTCTCTCCAATGTCATGCATCTACAAACTTGGTTGATGAAATTGATTGTTCACAGGTCCTTGTTAGGAATGTACCACCAGACCCTGATGAATCAGTTAGCGAGCTTGTGGAGCACTTTTGCCTGGTCAACCATCCAGATCATTATCTTACTCATCAGGTTGGCTCGTGCTAACACTCCATTAATAAATACTTGCATAAACATTTATACATTCAAACACAAGTAGTTACGTGGATGCAACAAGCGAGGAAAAAAAAAGATCAAAAGAAGGGATGTCATCTGAGTCCTGTACTTGTTATGAATGAAATTGATTCTATTATGATGGGAAACATATAACTTAGATGCAGCTATAATCTGTTAAGTTTATTTGTAAGAATGGCCATCTTTTTCGTCCCTATTGGAGTATTATGTGTTAATAGCAAGAAAACCAGGTAGTACACAAAGTTGAAGGGTCAACACTTGCCCCGGGGTTAGACAATTCTATTTAGAGTTAGAGGCTGATGGTTGGTTGTAAGTTTATTGGAGAATGAAATGGAAGTGACAGAAAAACTGAATGTCAGTGGACCTCAACAGCACTCATTATATTGTATTTTAAGGATATTAATCAGGATATGTTTTTCTTTTTGTAGTTAGCAAAGAAACTTCTTGCATTAGGTTATATAAATCAAGATATAAAATGATATTTGAAAGTATAAATTCAGGCATATATGGAGGAAATTTATGTTGTATGGTGAAGTTAATTGTTTTACTGAATATTCCTTGTTTAGATCAACAAGAGGAATGTATTTTATTTTACTTGCTGATCTTGTGACATAATGATGGTTTTTGTGTCAAATAATCAGCTGAGAAGGACATTGTGGTGGTTCATAGGGAAAACTATTATTTGAGATATACAATATTTGTTCCCAAAAAAAAAAAAAAATACTATGTAAAATTTTCCATTAGGATTTGACTAGAGTGAAAATTATGAGAAAAGTGAAAGTCATAGAAAGTGAGGTAAAAGATAGAAAAGTTCAAGGAAAATTTGTTTTCTTGTGAGTAGGGTGCCGGTGATGGGGGCAGGAAAGAGGACATGGAGGAACTGATATATCATGGACAAATTGGCAAGTGAGATAACAACTGGATACCTTCATGAGGCGGAAAAAAAGAAAAAAGAATAAAAAAGTCATGTGTTTTTTGTAAGAAGCTGAAACCTAAGTTACCATGTCGATATGGGTCATACAAGAAATTTAACCTTTTTTGCACTCTCCTCCACCACTCTCATGCTAAATCAAACGCTTCAAAAGTTCCATCTTTAGTCTTTTCGCATTTTCCACCTCTTTCCTCCTAACTATTTATTTCAGTTATTTCCTTTCTGACCTGACCTATAAGTTTGTTGAATTGCACATTATGTGAAATTGAAGTACTATACAGCTTTGTTCTCATTTGGAAAATTTTATGCAGGTCGTATTCAATGCAAACAAACTTGCAAAATTGGTCAATGAGAAGAAGAAAAAGCAAAACTGGCTTGATTATTATCAATTAAAATATTCTAGAAATCAATCACGACGGCCTCTCATGAAGGTACAGCTGTGTAATGCGATGTCCTCAACAAATGATTTTTCTATTTATTGCTTGCAGAGTTACTATATTTTCTCATATGCTGCTAGTTACCTTTTTGTTCTGGTGAAATGCTGTTTTTCAATTTATGATACTGACCCCTGTTCTCTTTTGTGTGTTTTAACTGGCAGACTGGTTTCCTTGGCCTCTGTGGGGATAAGGTGGATGCAATTGATTTTCATACATCTGAAATCGAGAGATTATCCAAAGAAGTAATACCCATTGTTAAAATTCTCCCACATAATAATTTTCTTTTTCAATTTAAGCGTTTGTTTGGTTTGTTATCCTTTCATAGCACTATACTGTCTAACGGAGCCTACATGTATGCATACGTATGTATTCACAAACTTGTGTGTACTGCTTAAATTTGTTGGAGTGTATGTTTAATATATATATATATTTTTTCTCAAGGTACAAATGACTCTATTTGAGTTCTTGAGGTACGAAACATAAAGGGATAAGAAACATCCTTGAAAACAACAAAAGAAAATAGAGAATACAGAAATGAATACCAACTGGCAGCCCTAGAGAAAAAATACCCAAGGGACTACATGACAACCAACGTAGGAGTCCATAGATATGACTTCTCTTTCAACTGAATTTTGTCTGTTTCCTACATGCCCATTTGATGAAACCACAAATGATTGCTTAAGACTTCCCTTCCATGTTACTAAAACCAAAAAAAAAAGGTTATGTCCCTTATTTAACTACTTCTATTGCTCATGATTGTGTGTTGACCGTACCAATTCTGCTAGACAAATACACATGTTTTACAATGACAAATGCACACTTGATGTTGCTATTTTCATGACTGAAATGATCTACCTAAAGGATAAACTGTTTAGAATGTTGTTTATGTCTCCGTGTCATATTCTTATATGTTAAAGAACTTTTAACTGAAATACTCATGCATCAGTTAAGTTGAATTTGAAGTTGATTATCTGCTACATTCAGTATTAGCATCTGCAGTTGGGTTATGGTTCAAAGCTCATGTCAGTTATTAATATTTTTATTTTTCTGTCTGCAATCTGGTATTCATTCATTTCTGAAACCCCAAATTAATGATGTTTCTTGGATACCTCATATTCAGATAGCTGCGGAACGAGAAAATGTTACAAATGATCCAAAGTCTATTATGCCAGCAGCATTTGTCTCCTTCAAAACTCGGTGGGGTGCTGCCGTTTGTGCACAAACCCAGCAATCCAGAGATCCAACATTATGGTTGACAGAATGGGCCCCAGAGCCACGTGACATATTTTGGCAAAACCTGGCAATTCCTTATGTTCAATTGACAATTAAGAGGCTTATAATTGCTGTTGCCTTCTTCTTCCTCACATTCTTCTTCATGATCCCAATTGCATTGGTACAATCCCTTGCAAACATCGAGGGTATCGAGAAAAAGTTGCCATTCCTAAAGGTCATTATTGATATGTGAGTATGCTGGATCATGAATGTTCATTCATGAATTTGTATTTAGGTAACTTGGATCAGTTTGTTGATGAAGTGAGGTTAATTTTTGTGCATTTGACATTTTAGGCAGTACCTAGTCACGAGTTAATGCGAATTTTTTGCTTACATCTTCTTATGTTCTTATAAATTTGACATGAGTTAATGTGAACTTTGTCTATCGCATTGTTAAAACTATTCATTCAAAGATAAGGTTCATATAGTACTTAGACATAGGCAGTAAGGCACTTGCACTTCAGCATATGTTTAACTACTGAAGAGAAAGTGGGCTGAGTGGACATAAAGAGTATTACATATTTGTGATAGAATTATTAATATTTAACAATGCTATGAGGCTTAAATCTATTTTATTCACTTTGTATTTATGGCTCACCTTTTCCTTATAATAGCAACTATGTAAGAGATCAATATTTATTATTGTTGAAGTAGTGCAACCTTAATTCTAGATAGATAAACTTGTCTTAAAGGAGTAGTTCTAGATAGAAAAACTTGTCTTAATGGAGAATTATTCTTCCCAGAGATTTTTGGTTGCTGCCATAGACAATCAAAGCCATTGAAGAACAGATGCATATGAGAAACTGTAGAAGCAATAGAAATGACAAATGACACTTTGATGTGGGTGTATTTTGAATTAAACCTAGATTATGTTTATTACCTGTTGGCAACTTGCACAACCTGATTAATAGGCAAATGGCGAGATTATTTCAGGGTTCTAAGGTTATGATGATCTTGTGAGCTTTTGTAATAGAGTTGTTGAGAGAATGCCAACTAATTGCAATCTCTACATTCATAGTGAAACTCCTCCGTTCTTTGCCCACAGATATAGGCTTACAGCCAAACCACATAAATCCTATGTGTGCTTGTGTGTTTATCCTATTTTAGTTTTTCTCATTTTGCCTTTGCCATAACAAGTCACAAAAAGGTGAAATTTGGAGAACACTGATCTTGGATTTCTTATTTTGAATTTCCCCAAATTATAGAATATGCTGTTGAATTTCGGCAGCCAGTTTCAAGTTGTAAATTTCCAGCACATGATGGGAGGGTTGGGTATGAATAATTTTAAACTTGGGTGTATTTGCTCATATGAATTTTAAAATTTAAACTCGTCATGGTTCTTGTTTCTTCTTCTTCTTTCTTTCTTTCTTTCTTTCTTTCTTTTTGTTGGTCTCTTTATTCTTATTCTTAAACTGAACCATAATTGTTTTTTTGGATTCTCTATAGTACAGTAGTCCAGTGGCACCTGGTTTATCAGTATGTTCATACATAGATTATCACCTGAGTTTGTTCTTAGTATTAGTGATAAGCATTCATAGTTCATGCACGTACTTTCGGTTTCTCAAATGGTTACAACTGCTTCTTACTAATAATACCTTGATCTATTATGCAGACATATCATCAAGTCGTTCATCCAAGGTTTTCTACCTGGGATTGCTTTGAAGCTTTTCCTCATCTTTCTGCCAGCAATACTGATGTTCATGTCTAAAGTTGAAGGCTTTATAAGTATATCATCACTTGAGAGGAGATCTGCATCTAGATATTACATCTTCAACTTTGTGAATGTATTTCTTGGGAGCATAATCACAGGAACTGCATTTGAGCAACTAAATTCGTTTATTAACCAGTCGCCGAAGGAGTATGTTTGTCTAACTTTCTTTCATATTGTTGACCAGTGTATCCTTGTTCTTCCGGCAATCTATCCATTTATGATTCTCCTGTATTTTGGCCTTGCTTGGTTTGTCTCCTAAGATGAGAGACATTTTTTGAGAAAAAATTTCAAATTTTTTTGAAAAAAAAAAAATCAAAATCACTTTTCTCTCTACTACACATCAATCAATCATTTTTTCTCTCTTCTCTCTCCTCTCTTCTTCTCTCACATCCTACACATTAATCAATCACTTTTTCTCTCACACCCATCTATTCAAAAAAAAAAAAAAAATTAAATTATCCCAAACTCTAAAACTCCAAAGCTATTTTCAAAATATACAACCAAACAAATTTTCAAATTTTGTAAACTCTTTCTAGAAAATTATTTTTCAAAATTGTTTCACAAATACAAACCAAACACGGCCTTTATCTTTCTGAATGCAGTAATATTAGAGGTGATCAGTCGATGTCTGTGTTTGTGTGTGTTTATATTTATGTATATTGGTTTGATAACTTAGGCATCGTTTGGAAACCTTCCCTTTTAGTCAAAAAGTTACTAAATTAGCCAAAAAGTCAAAGATTCTCTTTTCTCTCTACTTTTTGCACATCTTTTCGTAAAAAGCCAAAAAGTCATCCCAAACATACTAGTTTTTTTTAGCTCATATTTTAGCCAAATAGCCAAAAAGTTATTAAATTAGCCTGTTTCCAAACGAGGCCTTAATATTAAAGTTGGATAGCATTATATTGGTTTGGATGCCTATTTCTTTGTTTGTGTGCATAAATAATGATATGTATATATATATATTTATCTGAATAGCATCACATGCGATAATATTAAAGTTTGGGGCAGTATCATATTTCCTCTTGTTTTGCTAATGCAGAGTGGGTGGATGCCTGTGTTTATGTATGTTTGTTTAAATTGAGATATTGAATTATGTTACATTAAATGATATAAGAAAAGTAATGCTGTGTTCTTCTATTTTTTTTTATTTTTTTATTTTTTTTTTCCTTTTAGAAAAAATTCATGTTCTTATAGTGAAGGATAGTGCAATTTTTTGTAAACATTATGACTGGAACAATAAAAGCAATGAGGAATAAAAGTCAAACCAAGTAGCTTACAGGAGCAGGATTACAGAGCTTTCTGTTGCATGTAATTGTGGTCAAATACTGCATGAGAGAAGTGAAATCCCACTTATTATCTTCTTTTAATTAAGGAGTCGTCATATTTTCAAATCTGGATTATGCTTTTCTTTCATGTTTGCAAAAAGGAAAGATGGTCTTTCTTGCGTATAGAGTTTTTATTTTTCTTATTTTTCTTATTTCTACATTGATTGGGTTTTTGCATGTGCCAAGATTTTAACCCTTGACCTCCTAGCAAGGTGAAAAGGTTCTGGCCAACTGTGCTTGCCCCAGTTGGTTCTTTCTCACCTATGGAGTTAATAAAAGTTGTGGCGTAGACTGTAATGCCAGAATTGAAATCTAGACCTATGAACCTCCATTAAATTTTATTACTTCGTGTGCTATTTAGAAACAAAATTATTTTTGCAGTTATCTTGTGAATGACTTCTTTGCTTGTTATTGGCATGTGAATTAGTGTTGCTTTAGCATCTTTCCCTTGTATTCTAAGCTTATTATCCACCCTCAAGACTACAAAATATATTTTCCCGAATTGAAATCTAGACTTATGCACGTCCATTAAATTTTATTAGTTCATGTGTTATTTAGAAAGACAACGATTTTTGCAGTTATCTTGTGAAGGGCTTCTTTGCTTGTTATTGGCATGTGAAAGTATCTTTCCTTTGTATTCTAAGCTTGTTATCCACCCTCAAGACTACAAAATATATTTGTCCTACCTTCTTGTTGAGTGGCTCATTTATCAGCTGATTCTATTATTCCCTGTCGAATCAAACTTGTGGTTTCTAGTTATTTTTGCAGTTATCTTGTGAATGGCTTCTTTGCTTGTTATTGGCATGTGAATTAGTCTTGCTTTAGCATCTTTCACCTGTATTCTAAGATTGTCATCCACCCTCAAGGCTACAAAATATATTTGCCAGAATTGAAATCTAGACTTATGAACCCCCATTAAATTTTTTTAGTTCATTTGTTATTTAGTGTGTTTGGTTTCAGTTTTCTAAAAACTGAATTTTTTGTTTTTCGTCTTTTTTTGTTTTTGGTGAATATTTTTAAAATTTTAAGCATTTTTTTTACTTTTTTAGATGCACCTTACTTAGATATATCTAAAAAGTAAAATATTTGTGAAAAAATATTTTAAAAAATTAATAAATACACAAAAATATGAAAAATATACTGAATTTTAGTATTTTTTTTTTGTATTTTTGATATTTAGTGAATTTTTTTTTACGAAAATTATACTTTTTAAGTGTATTTATGTTATGTGTCTAAAAATTAAAAAAAAAATTGCTTAAAATATTAAAAAAAATTCAGTAAAAATAAAAAAAATACGGAAAAAAATAAAGTAAAATTTTCTGAAAAGTGTTTTCAAAAAATTGGAAACAAACATGGTGGATTTTTACCGTTTTCTTGTGAATGGCATCTTTGCTTGTTATTGGCATGTGAATTAGTCTTGCTTTAGCATCTTTCCCTTGTATTCTAAGCTTGTTATCCACCCTCAATACTACAAAATATATTTGTCCTACCTTCTTGTTGAGTGACTCATTTATCCGCTGATTCTATTATTCCCTGTCGAATCAGACTTTTGGTTTCTAGTGTCTTCTGCTATATTATGCTTGTATATTACCTTTAGCGATCAATTCATATTATCAAGTGCTGCCTTTTAGTTTGAGATTGTGCAGACTATAATGATAAGTTTTAATTTTTGCAGGATCCCTATAACCATTGGTGTGGCAATTCCAATGAAAGCAACTTTCTTTATAACATATATAATGGTTGATGGATGGGCTGGTATTGCTGGGGAAATTTTAAGGTTGAAACCATTGATTTTCTATCACTTGAAGAATTTTTTCTTGGTGAAGACTGAAAAGGATAGGGAGGAAGCAATGGATCCAGGGTCTCTGGGTTTCAACACTGGCGAACCTCAAATACAACTCTATTTTTTACTAGGCCTTGTTTATGCTGTGGTGACACCGCTTCTACTTCCTTTCATACTGGTTTTCTTTGGTCTGGCGTATGTTGTATACCGCCATCAGGTAAAAATTCAGAGTAAAATCTATCCATAAGATCTTTGATAGAAGAGATTGTAGAGTCAAGATGCACAAACATCATATGCATATGATTGTGTGGGCATGTGATAGAAACCCCACTACAAATGAGATTAATCTAATATGTGGACAATAGGACACCACCATTAGCTTCTGATAAATTCCAATAGGCATTCGGAAGTTTTCATAATTTGGCATTCATGTGGTATTTGTCTAAATATTTTGCCTATTTTCAGGTGCGAGTGTGAGTGTAGGAACTAGACATTCCTTTATGGTTGATACTTTTGATAAATATTGAAATCCACCTGAAAACACATATAAGCCAAAACAATGCTTACCGGGCAAATTAATTGCCATCTATATATTTGTCTATTTTTCAGGTGTGCACATGAGTCTAGATAATACGCATTTCTTTATAGTCGACACTTTTGGTAAATCTTCTATCCACCTGAAAGCACATATAAGCCAAAACAGGGCTTACATGAAATTTACTTGTACCTTCATTGTGACTGTAGCGGTACCTCATGCTGAAATTTTGGTACCAATTTTAGATTTTCGCTATTATAGTTCTATTTTATTTGTCCCAAACTGTATGGAAATATTTTGTTTCTGGCTCTAAATTGATAGGGCTAAATGCCTTGAGCATTATCCTGGAAATATCATGGATGTTTTATAGTTTCCTTTTTTGATAACTAAATACTTTGTAGTTTTCCTTCAATTATTTGAAGTCTTGTGAATGTCTTTTCTTTACCAGAATTGTTTTTGTTTTATCAATTGGACCTGTTGACCAACAAACTATGAAATTTCTCAACTCACCAATGAATTTACACTGCTTGTAATATCAACCTTACATCTTGGACTCATTTGTAGCTGCTTTTGTAATGGGTAACATCTTGCAACTGATTTTTGCATTGTGTTTATTTATTTATTTATTATTATTTGCAAGTCATATGTAGTTCTTATTAGATATGGATTTATGGGAAAGACAAACTTTTGTCTTGAAATATTTTCTGATTCTCATGTGCTTGAAACTTTCTTTTTTCTTCTCTTTGAGAAATTCTAGAACATTTCTCTAATTTTTGTAGTCTCCATCACTGCCTAATTCTTTCATGAATTTATGATAGTCTCACCACAAGATATGTTTTCAGAATATATATATATATATATATACGAATGTTATTTAGTAGACTTGGACCGGTCAATTTATTAGGAAGGGTGGCCCCATGGCATGGCACGGGAGTGTCCTGTCAGGGACATGTGCATTCACCTTTCAGCCTATTCTAAAATTTGGCTGGACTATGTTGTAGTTTGTCGATGCAGTCATTTTGTTGTATCTATTAGCTTTCGTAATAATAGTTTTTCTATTATAATGCAGATCATAAATGTCTACAACCAAGAGTATGAAAGTGGTGCGGCATTTTGGCCTGATGTCCATGGACGTGTAATAGCTGCATTGGTTATCTCGCAGCTTCTTCTAATGGGATTGATAAGTACAAAACAAGCTGCTCAGTCAACACCATTTCTCATTGCTCTTCCCGTACTGACCATAACGTTCCATTTGTTCTGCAAAGGTCGTTATGAACCTGCATTTATCAGATATCCATTGCAGGTCTGTAGGAATTCACAATTTGCAAACATATGTGTTTTTATCACTCTAGTAATTCCGTACATACATGCATATATATATAAATGTATCTTGTATTCTTGTTGCTCAACTAAAGATTGAAAGTTAAGGTTGAATTGATTGTCACATTAGAAATATGGGAGATGTGTGATATGGACAGAAAAAGTGTCTATGAGAAAAGAATCGAGCAAATTTGGAAACTTGAGATTTTTAAAAATTATATCAATATTAGAATACTAGGTAAGATTTGATTATTTTGATTGTTTTATTTGAAAACACTTAATTAGGGTTTTTTTGGATACCTATGAATAGGCCGTTATGTGTTAGGATTATTCAACTTTGAATATTGAATTGAATCAAGAGAATTTAGTTTTGATTATTAAGATTTTTTTATTTTTTAAATTTTTTTAGGGTTGAGGTTTGTTTTAGTTGATTGAAGTGTTCCCTCCCCATTAAAGGCTAGATAACATTCACCACCTTGTGGCTTGTACACAAAAGGATAACTTATACCACAAAATGTATAATTTTGTGCACAAAAAGGTTTACTTTTTACTCGTCACAAAAAGTATAACTTTTACTACAAAAAGCATAACCTTGTTATTCATAACTTCATGGGTGCACACCATAATTTTGCCATTCACAACTTCCATCACAAAAACTGTAACTTCCATCACAAAAGTTCGCAACTTTTATCACAAAAAATAGTAGCTTTTCTTACGATGTGCACCTTTTTAGGCATGCACACTATGCTCCGGCTATCCTACATCAATATTGTCTGCAAAGACCATGGATGCATTAGTTAAATATCCGTTACAGGTGTTCAGAAATTCATAATCTATGAAACCAGAGTTACTACTGCATCAGTTGTTTCCTCTGTATAGCTGAAACTTCATGTGCTTGTATCTGTGCATGCTTATTTAGATGTTTTAGTTTGCCTATTTGTTGTTTTTTCTTTGGGTGCTTTGTCACGGTGTTGCACGCTGTTAATGTTTACAACTTGTATTGCTGAGTTAATGGCATTCTCACATACATTATTGTTACTCTTCTTATTTATGGTTTAGTCTTTAATTTAAAGTTGTTTTCTCATCATTTCCTTGTATGTTTTGGATTTCAGGAAGCGATGATGAAAGATACCCTAGAACGCGCTAGGGAACCAAACCTCAATCTGAAAGGCTATCTCCTGAATGCTTATATCCATCCCATTTTCAAAGCCAGTGATGACGATGATGAAGACGAAGAAATTAATGAAAAATGGGACCAGGAGAGTGTGCTCGTCCCCACAAAGCGCCAGTCACGCAAAAACACACCATTGCCCAGCAAAATTAGCAGCAACTCGTCGCCATCTCTGCCTGAGGAGGAGGAGTTTCAGGAACTTTCACTGCTGTAAATCCTAAGCATGAGACTCTTCGTACATTGGGCACCTTGCATTGTTTAAATCAGTTAAGGAGGGTCACGCTGTAAATTAGCAGAAATAACTTTTTTTTCTTTTTTTGCTTTGTTGTTGTTTATGTGTGTGTATATGTACATAAATATATATATACATACAGAGAGAGAGAGAGAGAGAGAGAGAGAGTGGTGCAGCCTCTGGTTTTGAATTTGAAGACATTGATTCTGATGTTATGACAGTGGAAACAGCAACCCTGGAAGAAGATCAGGACGAGTTTGTGAAATTTTACATATGAGAATTGAAATGCTTGTTGGTTCACAAAGATATGAGTTATAACCACAAATTTTTCTGCGTCCGTGAATGTCCCCATTTTTTAACCACTGGTCTACAGGTTAGATGGTGTCAAGTTGGTCTCTGGACTTGTTTGTTTGAGGTTGAAGCTTGTTTCTTGTATGATCCTTCTGCACTGCAGGATTCAATCACCAGACTAGGCCAGTGTTTGTTTGTAGGATTATACTATCCAAAACCAGAAGTGTATAGCTCTCGCAAATGGTAGAACAACTTTGAGTAGTACATGATGGGAATTTTCTTAATTGATTATTAGCATGTTGGATTGTATGGTGGATTGCTTGATGTTCATTTAACTCTTTTTTGGTGCCCTTTTTTTTTCCCTTCACCTTTGAGGCGATGTTTGGATATTGGATTTGTCAAGGGAAGGAAGAATTTAAGGGAAATGATCCACTCTGCTTGTAGTCTCTTATATTTCCCTTGTGTGAGGTTAAGATATGTTTAGAAAATGGATTCGAGTAGAGATTTGAAAAATGTGTATGAAATATAATTATATTTTATTCATATTTTATCTATTTTTTTCTTTTTATTTTTTAAATTTTTATTCAAGTTTGTACTTCAAACACGGTTTAAAGTGGAGTGTGAATATCATTGGTGAATTATGCTTATGAATAATTAAACAAAAAATAGTTTTTTATTGACACTTTTGCAACATGAAGTCCAAATGTCTACTATTTTTTTTTTTTTAAAGGATCAATGTCTACTTGATGAATATGAAATTTAAATTTTAAAATTCCATGACGTATTATCATTATATTAAATTTTTAATCAAAATTTGTATAAAAAAATAATTTATCATTATATAATTTATTTTAAAACTTATATCTATATTTTTTTATATTGTCCATGATACACTAGTTATAAATAACATTATTTTTTTGATATTTGTCGAAATCAATTGTAAAAACTTGAGTGAAATATTTTTGTAAAATTTTTTGATATTGTAATTAATATCCCCTCTAATTTAATTTTTTGGCTCCGCCGCTACTTTCCAAAGTTGGCTTATTTGCTTAAACGAGAGGATTATAACTTATGTATGTAAATGAGTTAATTGGTACTTGAATATTTATGATAAATAACAAATTATACATGTATATTTAAATAGTCTAGTTAGATTCTAATCTAAAACCTTTTGTTTTGTTGTGTTTTTGTTTTTGTTTTTGTTTGTTTGTTTGCATTTTTTTTGGTTTTAATTTAGGCCAATTTGCCCACCTCGACTAAATCCTAGAGATTTGAAGTTTATGACTAGACGAATTTCTAGTGACTTCTTAAGATTACTTGAATTCGAGACCTTAAATCTTATTTTCAAGTTTTTATCATTCGACCAACCTCTTAGAATTTCTAAATTGGAACTGTAATTGCAAAAATCATAAACAAAATCGTGAAGTATTTTAAGAAATTATAATCAAACTATATATTAAGAAAATATCCACCCAAAAATATATTGAGAAAATCAAATCAAATGGTATAATCTGATTTGAATGAGACTAGTTAACTATATTTTAGATTTTTTTTTTCTCAATCATAATTTCAATAACATAGTTTGTTAAAAAATACTTAGGGTGCTCAAGTGAAAAGTCCAATCTTAATTTTTTTTTTTTTTTTAACCCAAAAGTCCATGAGCTAATTTTGGATGTTCACAAGGGCAAGCCTCCATGAAATGACTAAACTACCTCATATATTTAAAATCACTGCTCTTCATTTTTTTACTGTTGGTGAAAATATCAAAAAAATTATATTTTATTGATAAATGATGCAAAGAAAATGAGATATAAATAGATCAGGCTGAGGCACGGATATCTCGTTTTCTTTAAGGAGATTAAGCCCACTGCGGTGCAGTAGTGGGAAGAATTTAAATACTGATGCAGCAATCACAAAACTATGACTTGTCCCCTCCAAGATACAACAGACCGACCACTTGTCGTATGGTTCAGGCCAACTCTGCACAAGATGGTGAACCCAAAACTCTACTAAGAAAAACACCCTTCTTTGATAGTAATCTCTCTTGTATATAAAATAGTTGATGTATATAGATAGAAAAGAGTAGACTATTTAAAGGCCATTAGGACCTTACAGTAACACCAAAAATAAAGACCATTAAATAGGAGAAAATGGTTACACCAAAATAATGACCATTAACCAATAGAAAATGGTTACACCAAAATAATGACCATTAACCAAGAGGAAATGGAGAGACTCCAAAATTAACTCACCACCAAGGTCATGAATTTTAATTAATCCCTATTCATGACCAAGAGCTTACCAAAGTAATGAAACTCCATTTATGTCCATTTATGACCAAGATATATAAATAAATAAAAGATATTAAAATGGTCCAACATTTACCATCAAACCTGTTTTCCACTCTCTCTAGAGATGGCAATGGGGATCCTATCCTATGGACACCCATGGAGACCCAATCCAAATATCTAGATTTTTTTCCTTTTTTTTACTCGTCAAGTTAATTAAGTAGTGTTTTTTAAATATTCATAGGATATGGGTCGGGATGGGTACCCGTCCATTTCCCCCATATGTTGTGTTTAGAACTAGGGTTCTCTTCTCATTCCCACAGTGAGCCTATGTGACAACTCTCACCACTGATTAGTGCTAATCTATGATTAAGCATGTTAACTGATTGATTGACTGAAATTCTGAACTGATTGATTGAGTGTATTAGTTTAAATGCATTTCTATCTGTTGACCGTTAAATGATCTGTTCATGTGTTTATGTTTTAAACTGCAAATTGAAGGCCTTATCAGCGGTCGAATCTGAAATTGATTAGTGTTTTATGCTAATTAGAAGTTATGTGATTTTATGGTATATTTAATTGAAATGTGATTTGGTATGTTTAAATTGGATAAAATAATGCTAATTTACAATAGTTGGACTTATTTACCAAAATGCCATGCTTAGTGGGCCACTTTCTCCAACACCTTGAGACTTGAATACGCTTAGACATACCTTTTGCTCAGCCATTTTGAGAGACAAACCGACTAGAGAGAGAGAGAGTTGTTTGATTTCTTTATGTTAGCTTTATCACATTTCCTCAACCATTTGAGTCTAAACCGACTAGAGAGAGAGGGAGAGTAGGAAAAACTTGATTTCAACCTAATTGCTTGGAGAATTTAGAGAATTTGAAGGAGTCTTGCATAATTGAGCTTCTACACTTGTAATTCAAGGCCTAAGGTAGGAGAACCATCTTCTTGAGCTTGCATTTGAGTTATATCTTGCATGATTCATGGAAGTTTAGTGATCTAAGTCTAGAATTGGTTCTAACATGTTGAATTGAAGCTTAATCCATGCATGCATGCCCTTACATGGAAGTTTTGAGGTTATGTTCATGGAAATTGTTACATTTAAATTATGTTTTTGAACTTTGGATGAAAATTGTGCTCAATTGAATTACCTTTGGGCTTTGATTTCTCAAATTGATCTTTGAAACATGTCATATTATGAGTTTACAAGTGTTTCCAGAAAATTAGCCCAAAAGGAATGAATTTGATACATTTAAAGTTGAGTTTTGAGGTTGAGGTTCAATCTGGAATTTCTAGAATTTGGATTCACGCTCGAGCGGGGAACTCCACGCTCGAGCATACAACCTGTGCTCGTGCAGTCCGCTCGAGCGGGGAAAGTGACGCTCGAGTGGGAAATGCGTGTATCCAGTACTTTGCCCATGTTTACAGTCCGCTCGAGCGAGGGAATGCACGCTCGAGCGAGGACTTGTGTCTCACGCTCGAGCGGGGATCGAGCGTCCGTCGCGCGTGAGTATCAAGTACTTTTGCATTATTTTACAGTCCGCTCGAGTGGGGGAAACCATGCTCGAGTAGAGCTCCTTTGTTCTGCATGTCCACTCAAACGTAGAAAGCCACGCTCGAGCGTAAACCCTTGTTTTCTAAAACTTTTGAAAAGTGTTTAAAAGTGCATCTTTGCATCCTCATTCCATCCTAGGCATTCTTAGGCCTAGTTCAAGGCATCTTAATGAGGATATTGATGTAGAACCACACTGGGTCTAAGTAGGGACTACGTCTTCGATTCCCAAATATGTGACTTAGTGTGTGTTCATCCTGGAACTGTGCAGGGTTGGCATCCGAGGACACACTCTAGCTGTTTATAGCCCAATGCTCTGTGAGTAACAATGTTGTAAAGATATGTTCAATCATGAATATTTTCTGAATGAGCAACTGTACCGCTTTCTGAAATGATATTTCTTACTGAATGAATGTTTGTTCTATTTGTGAACTGTATTCGTGGCATCCATAGCAATTTACTGTTACTGTACTGTACTGTTACTATCACAGAGATCTCTGTCGGTTCCCATGTTTGGAACCACTACTGTTTACTGATATGATGGCCATCAACTGACTGTTTGGTCTGTTAAGACCTACTATACTGTTTTGCTATTGGATGTACCACATATGACTATTATAGTTTCTGAATGACTATTATGGCATGAATTATGAGCCACAAACTGAACGACTGATATACTGATAAATGACTGTTTTCAATACTGAAAGGACATTTATTCTTAATCTCTTTACGCATATGTTATTCATTGGGCTTTAGCTCACTGTTTATATATATATGTAAGTGTCCAGGCACTGGATCGGAGCTAGGGACGTGGGGTTTAAACTCCCTTTTTGTCAAGCCAACCAACGTGCCTCACTGCGAGGTTCCAAGTGCTGCCAAGCTAAGGCTGCTCCGGAATGTTTTAGATTCTCCCTTTTCTGTCTCTGTTTTGTATAGACTGTATAGACTGTTACTGTACTGTTATGTCAGGGATTTGGTCCTTAACCTGAATGCCTGTAAATGATGTATGTATATACTGTTATGGTTTGAATGTGTATACGTTTAAAAAGTCTTTTTGCATACAGACTGTCACAGCTCATTGGACATCTTTTATTACTGTTTTGGCTTTCGCCAGCCCCTGTACTCTGTATTATTATTATTACTGTTAAGTAGGCTTTTGGTAATCACGAATTACTGGCCGGTTACGGTGCTAAACCCATAGGGGCGGGTTTGGGTCATGACATCCTAAGTAGATTTCATTCCAGCATCACTCTAATCTTCTCACTCCAGCATCAGTGATTTGCGAAGGCAACGATCCGGCAGCGGCGATCTCTATCGGTGCTTACCAATAGCGGCGATCTAGCTCTCTTATTGGTGTGGTGTTGTGTTATTGTCTCACCAATGGCGTTCTCTGTGACTGTGACCTTGCGTTGCCCATCTCTCTGCTAGGGGTCTATTGAAGAATTCAAGGTCTCTTACTCAAGCTCTAACTTCATTTTCTTTTTGATC